CCTTTGAACAAAGATTCTGGCTTCTGTGCTCCCTGACCAGAGTCCACCACTCTCTCCTGCAGTTTCTTCCTGCCTTTACTTTCCTTTTCCTTTCAATAAAATTTTGCTGCTTTGCAATCTGTGTCTCTGTCCAATTCTTTTGCTCAGAAAACACAAGAAACTGAGATCTTCTGAGACTAACCACTGGTAACATTACTTAAAAAAAAAAGACTTCTTGGAAAGAAATGATTTATTTTTAGGCTTAAGGCAAAAAAAAACAAAACAAGATGACCAAGAAGATGCTGTCACACCAGGTAATAAGAAAGCTACTAACCACAACTAGGTTTATACCAAGAACACAGAGGTCAATTAAAGAGGCTTTCCCTTAACCAACAATAGGCAATTTAAGTATCAATTCAGTTATTACCAAGTATGATTGAAACCCAAAGTCTTAAATGTTTAGGTAGCAGTTAGCCATGAGTGACGGGTGAAGCAGGAAAGACAGATGAATGTGCATACAGGGAAATTATATTATTTTAATAAATATTAAATGGACCAAACTCAGATATTAGAACAATAAAGTAAAAACTCAAAAGCCACAGAAGCCAGCACACTCCACCCCTCCACCCCCACCATCTCCTTTGAGATGGTTAAGTTACAAATACTAGGAGACTTACAGGGGCTCTCTGCATCTGCCTTCCTCTTATTAACAAGCTGGAAGGCTCCTTGAATGGGTAAAGGGACAAAAAGAATGAAAGGCATGTTTAGCAAAATGAAGTCCTAAATGACATGTCTCTATTTTAACATCCATCTTAGCCACCCAAGTCCATCATTTTAATGATTAGAGGTCACTAGACATGACCACTTTACTCCCCCCAGCAAGGAAAGTGTAAGACTAGAGATGAGGACCTCCATTTTGAATCTTTACTCCCAATTCCTATATGGGAAGCAGGAAATGTTTCACCTTTTCCCCCATTTCTCCCCATTTTTATCCTGTCATACTAAATACCTGTCCTAATAAACTTCACTATTACTTTCACATCTTGCCTGAATTCTCTCAATTATCAAGGCAGGCCAGGACATAAAAAAGATCCGGACTGTTAAAACATGTGTGATTTAACATAGTATTTCAGACTGAACATTGATATTCTCTCTCTCTGACTTAACATTGTATTTCAGATTGAACACTCATATATTCTCTCGTGCGCGCTCATGCTTTCTCTCTCTCTCCCCCTACCCCAGGGACAACCCAAAACCCCTCCCTACTCACCAATTATTGGTGATCAAGAACTCTTCAGGTTTTACCCCTCCCACAGGTTGGGGTGAGCTTTTAAAACACTTTGTAACTGAGAGCTCTCTCTCTGCTTCTGCCTTATATCTGGCCCATCATGGCTGTTTGTAACTTTTCCTCCTAACCTGCCTGGATGCCTCCAGGTTAGGATATAAGAAACTGAATTTTCTGTTTACTGGCAGCTGCAACACTAACAGTGGTAACTTTCAAGTAACATTAAATACACTAATTATCACTAAACTTAAAAAAAAAATCTAATCAGTCACCATCAAAGAATGATAGTTTATCAAATAGTAGGTGAGGGAAGTCTCTCTGTATAAATACATCCGAGTTAATGAAAAAACTGATACAGTATCACTATAAAGAAGGCATTCAGATTTTATGTGCCTTCTGAAGAAAAAGCACCTTACCATATACACAATACCACCTATAAAATGCCACCTTAAGTCTTACTGAAGAGCTTAAACCTGAGTGATCAGGCCTGTGGATCCACCTGCCCATCTGCAGAAAATGCTGAAGACAACAAATATGTTCAGCCACATTATATGTATGCAATCTCTAAAATGCAGACTGTGGGGAAACAACAGGTCAAAGTACCCAGGTTCTTGAACAGAGAAATCGTAAGGATAAGAAAAATACGGAGAAGGAAACTATAAACTGAAACATACCAGATAAAAAGAGGGTGGAGGAAGGCTAAACTAAAATGCTTAAGTAAATATAATTTGGTGTTAAACTACAAAGAATAGGTGACATAGCTCAGTAGTAGTGTGCTTGCCTAGCAGGTGTAAAGCCCTTGGTTCAATCCCCAACACCCCCAAAAAAACAACCCAACAAGGAAATGATTACTATAAAAGTCAGAAAAATGGTTACTTTGGAGAATAGCATGGGGTGACTGGCTATGGCATACAGAGAGGCTTCTGGACCTGTGTAGTGGTTATAAGGATTTTGGTCTTACAATAACTCAGTATTATATTGTTTGTGTAGGTTTATTTGTGCTTCATTTTAATAACGAAGTCTTTCTCTAAAAAGTAAATGATTAATAGAAAATCATCCAGTTTATCTGGTTCCTTCAAATGGCACAAGAAACTCACCACTCATTCTCCTAGAACCAGAAGCTAACTGCAGGTCCAAGTTCAATTACCTCACTCAACTCTTAGAACTTTTTTTTACAGGATCTTAAAAAACTGATTCTAAGCCAGGTGCCAGTGGCTCACATCTGTAATCCCAGCTAGTTGGGAAGCTGAGGAGGATGGTGATTCAAGGCCAGCCCACGAAAACATTTCATAAGACACCATTTCCAAACTTACCAGAACAAAGTGGACGGAAGGTATGACTCGAGCAGTAGTGTGTGTGCCTTTCAAGTGCGAAGCCCAGTCTCCCACACACAAAAAAAAATCTGATACTAAGTTACCTACATGAAATGACTATTTCTACAATAGCTTATCTATTACAGACTAAGACAATAAAATCATCTTCTTATTAGTGACTTTGTTAATCACAAGATCTCATACTCCAGCTTATCCTCCATGTGGACTGTTAAGAATGTTACTTTAGTGCCAGGTGCTGGTGGCTCACGCCTACAATCCTAGCTACTCAGCAGGCAGAGATAAGAGGATTACAGTCCGAAGCCAGACCCAGGGAAATAGTTCACAAGACCCTACACCCTCTGCCCAAAAAAAAAAAAAAAAACCATCACAAACCTCCTTAGACTATTAATATACACTTAATTAAAAAAAAAAAAAAGAAGCACAGTTGGGAAAAACAAATCTTTTCCATGAATGGGTACCAGTGGGAGGGGTTGGGCGCAAGGAAAAGAGAAAATGAGGGTGTATATGGTAGGTGTATTTTATGTCCATATATGAAAATAGAAGACTGAAACTTGTTGAAATTGTTCTAAGGGGGGAGAGAGGAACAGGGAGAACTATGGAGGGGGGTAAATCCAATTAAGATATATTATAAACACATATGTAAATATCACAATGTATCTGATACAACTGTTGCATGCTAATAAAATTGTAAAAAGAAAGAAAGAAAAACAAATCACAAAAAAGGGCTGGTGGAGTGGCTCAGCGGCAAGAGCATCTGCCTGGCAAGCGTGAGGGCCCTAAGTTCAACACCCCCTACCCCGCCAAAAAAAAAAAAAAAAAAAAAGAATCACTTTAGAAGTATCCGCTCTTCTTTTATATCTTGTATAATACAGAACTCCCCAAAGTTCAGAGAAAGTAGAGAACAGTGACTAAAAACTGCCACAGAATAGCATGAGTAGAGGGAGCAGAACATAGAGGAGAAACCCGCTTAACCTCAGTGATACAATTTCAGTGACCCAAGTAAGTACTTTCTAGCTTATCCTGATGTTGTAAAATAAGGGAAACTTCCCTACAGACAACAGATTTATAGTCCAAAAATTGTTAAACTGAAAAAGAGAAATACAGTTAAATACCAATCTTACAGAATTTAAAAGGGAAAGGTAGGAATAATGACTCCCTGTGCTGTTAAGAGTAGCTACTAAATGAGCTTTGGGCCTCCCTGGCACAAAAAACAAAACTTGACAGGTGGGAAAGAGAGAAATTTCATTCTTCACCACCACAACTACTTCACTGAACTGAACTTGGTTTAATTAAGTGCAAGCACTCTAGAAATAAGAAGAGGGAAAACAGGAGACACTCCTGTGAGTACCAATCTCTATCATGGCTACAGAGGAAGGCATTTAAATTTACTCAATAGGTTAACCAGAATTTTTTAGCTGAAAAACAACAAATACTATTATTATTAATTCCCTTTTCCTCCCTCCATATCACTTTTCTATCTAGATTTGGTACTTGTGCACTCCCTCCCTCTTACTTCTTAATATGTCAGGAACTGTGGGTTTTTGTTTTATTTTCCCCATACCCATCTACCTGTCTTCCATATGCTTAGGACTGTGCCAGATAAAATGTTTTACACACAGCATCTGCTCAGTATGTCTGTTATATTATATTTTTAAAAAGGACAAGTAAAAGAGGAAAGTACTGTGTACTTTCAGAAGGCAAAAATGGGAGGGTGAAAAAGTATGGGGACGCATACTGACTCAACATGAACACTAAAATTCTTTAGCACTGGTTGTTTTGAGAAGTAAAAATGTCCCTTCACCATCTTCAAAATATTTAAGAAGAGGATGTGTGCCCATTAAGAGGCACACAGGGAAAGGATGTTCTTAGTGGGTCTAAGGACTCATGTATTTCTTTGAATATATCCAGAGTGCATAAAACATAGAAGGAAACTTTGAGATCTACTTAAAATTCTAAAGATTTGTTTCTGAGTGAGACTGTCCTCAGAGACCCAGTCTGAAAAGCAAATGAATAAGGAGGGGAAATGAAGGGGAATAGTCATTTCCCACCCCCCTAGAAATCTATCATTTGAAAATGTAAAAACTCAATCCTACTTTATCAGAGAATAAAGCATCAAAAAAAAACTTTTGAGCACTAGGCATTTCACATGGGTTATTTTTGTTTCATCTTTGATATTATTATCACTGTTTTACAATGGGACAATGATACTGAGAGAATAAACAATGAATAAGTTTTGAATATTGACTTAAAACATGTTCTTTCCATTGAATCTTCCTGCTTCTAAGAGAAAATAGCATTTATGAAATATAACCATTGCTTCTTTTGTGTACTGGTATTAGAAAACTTGATTTCCTACCATATCTTTTAACTTCCATACCATAAATTCACGCTTCCATTCTTACCACTTATTTCAAGCTCTGCCCAATGTGATTTCTTTCCATTTGCTGCTTCCTCAGAGGACATAATCGTGTACATCCTCCGAGGGTCAGGTGGCTCGTATTTTTCTTTGGGCATGCCTGTTAAAGAAAAGAAACCAATCAGTATTCTGAAGAATCAAATAAATAAAAACAACAAAACTTTTTTTTTTTTTAAAGGAGAATCTCTAAATACCACTTCCCACAAAAAGGAACTAGGGGCTCCTTGGAAGAAATGGATGCTTTCAGGCTTTCAGGGCTAATATAGGAAAGATACAAGCAAGCCTGGAAGCTAACAAGGGTGCAGCAGTTGTGGAGTACACGAGTGCTAACTTGAAGAGGGTTCCACTGGCCAAATATAAGACAATTTGAATATCACAAGAATGACTACAATTGAATCAATATGAACTGCATGAATTCATAATTTTAACTGAAAAAAAGAACAACTTAAATCTCCTGAAATTTGGAAAATAAAAATAATTAAGTACTTATCATGCATTTCTGGCAGAAACATGACATGTTCCAGGTAATAAATGCAAAAGGAATTACATAATTAGAAAATAATTTTTATAATCTCAAATGAAACAATGGACATATGCAATAATTAACAACATTTAAAACTAATGGGAACAAAACAATTAAAGGAAAATTTTTAAATGGCTGTTAAAACCTGAACCTAATGCTTAATCTCACCTATGCCTTCTGATGAGACATCACTACGTATGTCCTTGCCTCCTCACCAAAACTGGACCTGAATCAAATCAGGTCTCTCTAGATCTGGCATGTCTATAAAAAGTAAGAAATACATGCTTGGTTATGATTAACTTTTATGCTATGTGCATTTTAATCACAAGTAAAAACTTTTCAAAATAATTCTTAAAATAAAATAATAATACCACCAGCAAGATGCAGAATATGGAAAGTTCTAGATAACAAAAGACCTAATTTTTCAACCAATAATGGCATGAAAAATGAGAACCGGCAGGAAACTGATACAGAATAAATTTAAAAGACACAGATATAAAATGCAATATTGTAGACCTTGTTTGTTCCAACTTGAACAAATTAAGCATAAAAAGACATTTTTTTAAAAATCAGAATTCCTTGGTTAAGCACCAGTGGCTTATGCCTGTAACCCTAGCTACTCAGGAGGCAGAGATCAGGAGGACTGTGGTTCGAGGCCAGCCTGGGCAAATAGTTCATGAGACCCTATCTTGAAAACACCTATCACTAAAAAGGGCTGGTGGAGTGGCTCACGGTGTAGACCCTGAGTTCAAACCCCAGTATGCAAAATAAAAAATAAAATCAGAAATTTAGATGGATTAAATATTAATATTAAATTAGTATTTTGTTTCTGATTTTTTTTAAAAGTTCTTGTTGTTACACATTTTTAAATACTTAGGCAAAACATTATTCTTGTGCACATTATTTCAAATCCCATGTCCCTCACTTTATCTTATTCTTTTAGATAAACCATAATCCTTAACTTTCTACCTACTCCATATATACCTAACACCTACACAGCTAAGCACTGCTAGAGAAAAACCTACAATAATGTGAATTTAAAGTGAGACAGTTAGCAGTTACCCCAAATGGACTCTTCCTAGCCTATCCCCTCCCTACACCTACATGCCTTCCCTCTTTAAACCTAACACTTGCTCCTCTATCATTTTTCTCAGTTAATGACCTTACTTCTATTTTCAGAAAAGGCCAGAAAGTCCTTTTTATGAGCTATGACCTATGCCCATCTTTTACTGCAGACAAACTGCCTGCCCTATTAGAACAACCTACCTGTGCACTTAAACCTACCCCATAATCCTGCCTATTTTGGACATTAACCTGGCAATTTTCTCCTTTCTTTCTCACATAATCTCTGTCTACTGGATCTTTATTTCAGCACACAAATAAATGGCTTATTTCTTCTATTATTTAAAAAAAGAGTTCATGAGGTGTGTTGGTACATATTTATAATCCCAATAGTCAGCAGGTGAAAATGACTGGGAATTGTAGGCCAGCCAGCTACATAGCAAGTTCCAGGCTAGCCTAGGCTACAGACTGAGACCCTATCTTTAAAAAGAAAAACAAAGGAAGCAGATTGGAATGAAGATACTCAAGGGCCAAGCGTAAAAAGTCACGCTCTCAATCCTTAGTCTAGTAGATAGTTCCTTAGTTGAAACCCTTAAATTAAGTACTATATATTTTAACCTCCTCAAGGAGAAGCAAACGCAGCTGCTGAAAACAAAGACATAATGAAAGGGGATAATCTGCTGAATCAAAATCAGAAGTGATCAAATATTTGGATTTGTAATTACAAAATTGTATGCAAAGCTAAAAATCTACCAATGGTAATTGGCCCTAGCCTAAAAATATGCACTAGCCCCACCTCTCCTTACTTTTATAAGCAAAGTAACAGCCATCTACACTTAACCTTCAAAATGAATCTCTAAGGGGAATAAAACAGAGGTGCCTAAGGATTCACCATAAATTAACACACATTTCTGTGGCCAGAGGCGTGAAGGTTCCCCCAACACAATAAGCAATTCTCCAGCAGATATCACTGGTTGTCATATTTCAGTTCAATCTACCTGGAGCTAACTTAATGGCTCAGTCCCACAACATTGCCCCAACTTTAGATGCCAACCTCAATGAGCATACGTCATCTGTGTTTCTGACCCACATCCAGTTATGAGTTGGTGTTCCCTTTACTCCCTCCTTGGGTTCGATTCATTTGCAAGGATAGCTCACAGAACTCAAGAAAACATTTTATGTAAGTCCACTGGTTTATTATAAAAAGTACCATAAAGGGAACAAATAAACAGCAAGATGAAAATGCATCATAGGGCAAGATGATATGGTGAAAGGAAAGTGGTGCTTCTGTATCCTTTCCAGGCAGGCAATCACCATCAACTATTGTTATTCCATAGTTGTTGCTATTGTTTGCAGTGCTTGTGGACTCAAACCCAAAGCCTCATGCGTACTAGACAAGCACTATACCACTGGGCTACATCCCCAGCCTTTGTTCAACAGTTTTACAGAACTTAATTTTTAGCTCCTCTTCCTTTCTCAGAGGTTGATGAAAGAGGCTGAAATTTCCAAACCTCTTATCTCCAACTAAACAGTCCTTCCTGCTATTTAGGGATCCAACCCTAAGTCACTTCATCAGCCTAAAGTAATACAAAGTTGTATAATAAGCTAACACAAAAATCAATACATTAAGAGGTTATCAAGGGCTCATTATAAGAAACAAGACACTTCTGTTATTCAGGAAATTCCAAGGGTTTTAGGTGTTCTCTGATGGGAACCCAGGACAAAGACCAAATATACTTTGTATTATACCACATCCATCCACACAATGTAAGAATAAAAGGCAAGTTCTATGAATACAGAATGCCCAATATCACATTACATATTACACACACACACACACACACACACACACACACACTATTGGCTATATAAAATCAGTACTCCAAAAAGCTAATGAATCTATTGCGAAAAGAAATACCTCTCAAGCTTAAAAGTGCTTCCTTTAATAAGGTGAAAGCTCTCAACTTAAGAAAAAAAAAGAAATTCCTGCTAGTTTTTCAGCTCATTTATTGTTAATCTCTTACTGTGACTAATTTAAAAATTAAACTTTATCATAGGTATGTATGTAAAGGAAAAGAAACACAGTATGCACAGAGTTCTGTATTACTAGAAGTTTAGGATAAAGGAGAACTAATTTATTTCAGATAAGCTACTTGGCACAAGGATACAGCCACCTCTACTAATGAGTTATCACTAACTCCTGCAACAAGCCCTTCTTTCAAAACAGCCTGGAAGACTTCCTGTCATTAAAAGCCTCCCATTGCCCCAATCTCCTTGGATGTGCCTATCGCCTACCATAGCACACATACCCCGGACTGCAATCCCCTGCTATTCTCAAATAAACTCTTTGATTTAAAGAGGTCTCTCTGTTCCTAATTTTAAGTTGACAATGTATTTTACATAAATTTTACCTCAACTACAAAGTATTCTATACTCAAAACACCTGGTCGAGTGTGAGAACAAACAAAAGGACTTTTTCAGACAAGCAATCACTAAGAAAACATACAACCTATGTACGCTTTCTAAATTAAGTATGTACAACAGCACTGTTTGTGACAGAACATGAAAACCTACATGGCTTAAATAGGCTATCGTACAGTCACCCACTACAGATTGTTCCACTATGAACAATCACACAGCTATGAAAACAATGATTTTAAGTAAGCCACTGGTATTACACTGAATTATTTATTTCGCATTTTAGGATTAAGCAAATAAGTGATTGTGTTAATGACGTTAGGAACCAATATTTGCATGTACCTAGCATTCAAACCAGCCACCATGTGAGGTAGCAAATAATCTGAAAACTGGTAACTGAAGAGAAAGATTTACCTGGTTACCCCTGCAGAAGGGAACTGCATTCAGAGGAATGTAACAGCCCCAATGAAAAGAAAGCCCTACTTTACAAAAAACTAGCAACTAATAGAGTCTGATATGGTAGCATGTTCCTGCAGTCACAGCTATTTGGGAGGATGAGGCAGGAAGATTGCCTGAGCTCTGGAGTTCAAGGCCAGCCTAAGCAACACAGCAAGACCCTGTCTCATTACCACTTGAGGCACTCCACCAGCAGCCCCCCCATCCAAAACGATAGCTAATAAATGAAGCCTGAAAGAAAAGGCAATATACATATTACAATCATTTTGTAATTCCTAATGAACATTATCCCAACAAGGATTATAAACTGGGTTAAAACCATTAGATGAGGGTTCCGCCCTCGCGCCGGGTCGGGCGGGGAGATGTGGGGGGGCAGGACCGGACCGGCCTTGGAGCTGTGGGATGTTTCGCGCCCTCCTCGCCTTCTCTGATGACATCATGCGCCAGTTCCTGCTTAGATTTACCTTTGGCAACGTGGTTGGTATGTACCTGGCTAAAAAACCTGGCTAAAAAAGTTGAAGAGATTAAAAAGGACTTGGAAGCCAAGAAGAAACCCCCTAGTTCCTGAGGCCTGCTTCAGCACTGTGTTCTGGATTCCCCAATTCTACTGCTTCTGAGGGGCCGTCTTCACTTCCTAATCCCAAAACTCTTGCTCTCTTCTCCAGTCTCAGCGATTTTCTTCCTTCTAGATGCTGTGTGTTGACTCAGAGAAAAATTGGGCTACAAGTTGAGAACTACCCTTTATGTTTCCAGCAGCCTCACCTCTTCCCTTGTCTTCCTTCTAGCTACTTGGGAGGTTCTAAAACTGGATTACGGTGCTAGGTTAGCAAACACAACCTTTAATTAGTAGTTTATTTCCTCTTTGGGATTTCTACTACCTTTTGTCAAAAGAAAAACTGATGAGTTTTGTATAGCTGACCAGGTATACAAAATATGCTGATTTCCATAGTTTAGCAATTATAATGGGTGCTTGCTAAAACACTTGTTACAAAATTTGTTGATTCAAAATAATTAAAATATGTAGAAGCCAGTTTCTGGTGAATTATCCATCTATTTTATACTGTTGTCAGGCAACTCCACAGTTGATAATTTAACCAATAAATCAGTTTGCTCTTCATTAACTGAGAAACTATATTCTAGGAATTCTGTATAGAGCTGGGGAATTAAAAAAATATGCAAAATAAAAAAAAAATTAGATGAATCACTGGCACTGACATAATGCTAAAGTAACAACATGGGATAGCCTACTTTCACATCACAAAATAGAAAATGTTCAATGGAGGAATAAACTTACCCATTCATCAACCTCAGCAACATTAATGTTGGGAGGACCCAGACATTGGGTCACTTGATGTGATAAGAATATGGAAATGACCCAAACATTGTATGCATATAAGTAAAAGAAATTAAATTTTTTTTT